GTACGTAAAAAGTACGGAACATATACATATATATATATATATATATATATATATATATACTTATGAGTGGATCCCAACTTTTAGCTATAGAGCGAGGTGTTCCAAACCACTGGAAGAAAAGCAACACTGAAGTGTACAAACCTTCTCCTCAATCTGAAGAAGTCTGAAAGGCAACACCCCAGGCTCGAAATGATGGCATCGTGTATACTTCACTCAACCTGAGAAAACAGAATCCATCTAGTCTGGAATTATGCACACTCATTCTCACTCCCCAGTCATGTGGGCAAGGTAAATTCCACTTGCCCCCAGAATTATGAGGAGGACAAGAAACAATTGTGCTCAATCAAGGACCCAGGATATGACCACTCTACATTTGGAATTACGAGGAGACAATGAACCCTCTTCCATGAACAATGTACTGAACCAATATTGATCAAAAAGAAGGGCCACACCCACCCCAACTGGATAGCTGAGTGGGATCCTGTGAAAACGAAGTAAGAGACCCTGAAAGGTAGCAAAGAAAATACTCACCCCTCTGTATAATCTAGCAGAAGTGTTTAAGATACTTACAGGGGGTAGGTGAAAACCCTCAGAGGAAGAAACTGCCAGATCATGCAAATAATGTAAGACAAAAGTATTGGGAGAGATCTACATACCAGCCTGTACAATGTCCTCCAGTGGGCAATTCAACAGAGCAGCTAAGGACATAAAAATGTGACACGACTCACAGAAAAGAGAGCCCAGAATAAGCAATATGGATCAATTTTCAAACCCACCTCATCAAGGTAATCAGGGATAATTTGCGGGAAACTGAAGGATCTCAATGAATAAAAAGTCATTGTTTATCACCTCTAAAGGAATTAGTGAGAGCCACATAAAACTTTATGGCCCTAAATGGACATAACAAGCAATCAGGGTCTGAGTGGTCATAAAGTTGAAAAATAGTGGTCAAATGAATTGGTGAGAAGGATTTATCCCCTTCCCTGGCTGCCAGAGTCTTAGGTAGGAAGGACCTGTCTGGGTATAGAAGGACATAAGTAGAATGATAGAGAATCCTGTAAAAATGCAGTGCAAACAACTCCAACCAACGATATCCACAGGCCAGCAATAATAAAAAATAAACTTTAAGAGAAAGATGATACATGATATAAGAGGCTAGGGGTTCAAACAGGTGTCAAGATAGAGCATGTAACACTCCCTTAATATCCCAATTAGGTAATTGAAAAGGCCTTTTTTGACAAAGGACTAGAAATGACTTGAGAAGGCTGGATAGCACTGGGGATTCAAATAATTTCCAACTTTTCGAGTATCTAAATGTAGCCAATAGTGTAGCCTTAGATAAGGTGATTGTAGATGATGCTAAATCCTTGTCAAAAAACAAGCTATGGTTGGCATATCTGGACAAAATGGGTTCAATTTCCTTGCGAGACACCACTGTCAATGTGTGCCATTTTCTTTGATAAATGTCCATCATGGTACCACACAGCGACTGAGACAAATACATGGCAACCTTAGCA